CCCCGAAGGGCCCCAGCAATCACATCCTTAATGCGCTTTACAATATAGTATAGTGTATTACTTTTCTAGAATATACTATGATATACTATATTACACTATAACGAAAAAATACGCTCTACTATATTACAGTATACTAATCTAACCCCCTACGATAGCCTAATTGGCAGGCTTGAGCTCCCTGCAATCACGCCATGCCTGGGTCAGGGTTTAGGTTTTGGCGGTCTTTTCTGTTTACAGATTCAAGGTTTGGAGTTTGGGTTCAGGGGGGGAGGGTAATATAGGGGATTATAGGGGGACTACTTATATAGGGTTCAGAGGCCAGGGATTTGCCCCTGCGCCTGCGCCCGGCTGACGTTCGAAATAAGAGGTCTGGTGCCTCTTCCTCTGAAACACATCATTCATGCTTCGGGAGCGTACAGGACTCTCTCTAATCAAAAATACAGAGACTCGCAACACTACATCAAGCCAGACCTGTTTCCTGGACCGCCCCGCTCACATCCACACTCCCAAGATGGGTCTGGAACAAATTGGAGAGTGACCGCCTCCAGACGTTCCTATGTTGGGAGGTTGGGATACTGCGTGCTTGCCGCTGCCATACGTACAACCTTTACCAGATGCCTGCCAACTTTCCTAGGCTATCTCAACATCATCTGCAGATCCGCTCTGCACTGGAAACTGGACCCCTAAATCGTGAAGCCCTGCATACCTCATGCAATTTCTCTAAACCCTGAATCAGTGAAGCTTCGAACCCCAACTCCCTGAATCTCAGAGACTCTCCGCGCTTAGCATGGAACGGAGAAGCGATCGCCGTAGTAGTCCATTTATAATCTCCAATAATGGATTCTGCAACTCCCTCCACTTTTCCCTACTAAGTAAGCTGGCCCCTAACCTTCGGCACTACAGTGGCTTCCGTTGTCTTGTGCGTTTTTCCTACCGAGCACCAAGTGGAAGCAAAGTAGAAAATCAGCGCCTCAACTCTCCAGCCAGCATGCTCTGGAGCTCCGGAGGACAAACCTGGAAGGCCTCGTGCAAGCGTCTTGGAGTTGAATTAGGCTTTAGGGGTTTTCTGTTGGTTTTGACGGAGCTTTGGGGTCTGGGGATTTCAGTTTGGTAGCTTAGGGGTGTAGTCTACGGTCTCTCAAACGAATAAGTCGGGGCAAATTGTAAGGATTTGAAGCTTACAGGGCCGCCCTCAAGCTCTCAAGGATTGTAGTGGGGGAGTTGTCGTTGGAGAGTCCACCGCGGATCACGTCGGAGACGTTGAGGTCGGCGAGTTTTTGGCCGACTGCGAGGGTGTACGGGAAAATTTCTTGGACACATCCGCTGTAGTTGTCTGAAAGACAATGTGCCGGGGGGCAAGAGATAAACCTGCTGAACATCAACTGCTATGCAGGGCTACTGGTGAATATACATGGACATGCTCTATGTAAACGGCTCTTGTATGGTGGCCTGCAAAAATGAGTGCCCCCAGAGAACCACGAATTTCAATGCTTGCAGAACAACACCCGCTTAGCAACTAGGCGCTCAATTCAAATTCTTGTAGCTTTACGCTTTACACATCTCCGGGCCTTCTGGATGACCCGGCAGCCGTGCATCTTCAGGGAGAGCTTCACCACCGACTGGCGGAACTTCTCCACGATGGCCTCTCGTTACAGGAGCACTGCAATGATCAAAGATTATGCTACAAGGTTGTGTAGCAATTCCGAGGATTGAGCCGTGCAAGGCATTCATACGAATGTGTGCATGAGAGTTTCTCAGAATTAGGAATCCCTCAAGTAGAGGACTTTAAAGTAACCCATTCTTCGTATCGGTAAACAATACCCCCAATCCCCCAATGCTGTATAAGAGACCTCATATGTTGGGGAACTCTTGTGCTGTGCCATGCTTACTATTGCAGGGGCCGGATCACTTGTTTTGTAGCTTCCCAGTCAAGAGTCCACTTCTCTGCACATACCCAAAGTGTATCCCAGGAATCGGAATCGACACAGGAACACTTTCAGCTTCTCTATACGTTTCCTCCAAAAGCCACACAGATATACATGATCTATCACTACCATGTTCTAAAACCAACCGCACACACCGAACTGCAGACAAACCCTAACCCGAAACCCCAAGCCCCAAGTTCAAGACCCCAAACCCGAAGCCCAACACCCCAAACCTCGAACCCAAGCAATCCCTGCAAACCCAATGTATAGCCTAGTATAATGTAGTAATTTCCATTTTCTTTTCCATTACCCCGATATATAACCCCAATATAACCCCACCATTATCCCTATATAACCCCAAGATTATCCCAATACTACCCGGTTATTATCCCACTATATCCCCAATATAACCTTAAACCCTATAGAATAGTAGTTTCCATTTTCTTTTCCATTATTGTCCCTATATAACCCCAACCCTAGGCAGATCTGAGTAGCGGGCTCTGCGCTGGTCCGGGGTGCAGATGTCCAGCAGCTTTTGCACCTGAGCTCCCCGGTTGCAAGTGCCAGAGTTTAGAGAGCACCTATACAACTATTAGGAAATTGGGCCCCTAAATACCATACTATAAAGGAATTATGGGTCCCAAGGCCCTAATCGTTGTATGTAGGTAATTCTATGTGGGCAGCTAGGATCCCTTGTTCACCCCCCAATAAATGCACGTCAGGACTTGGAACAGTAGGCCCTAAACTCCATGCCCCAAACCCTGATCTGTGTATCAAACCTTAGGGTGCTGACGACAGCGCTTCCGGAGGAGTCGCCGGCAAGCATCTCCATCTGCAACATGTGCAACGCGCAGTTCAACGCGGTGAAGCGGTTGAGGGCTTGGGTTGCGGGAATTCGAATAAAGAATTTTGTGCTTACTGCAAGGCTTAGCCTTTGGATCTGAATGTAGGAACTAGGGTTCGGGATTGCACCGCAAATCCCTAGGCCCTCCACCAAGAATTCGGCTAAAAATCCAACACCCCTGAATCGCGTAACGTTCAACTCCGACCCCAGAAAACTCCAGAAGCTCAAGGCCCTACAGCTCTAGATTCCCAACCCCTGCACCCTGAAACTGAAACCGTAAATCCCTCTTTCCGCTACGAACTACCAGTGAGCCACTAAGTAATCCTCCTTTCTTTTGTATATACATATATATATACATATATCTGTCTGTCTCTCTCTCTCTCTGTGTATATGTACATATCTGGGTATGTGCGTTAAAAGGG